GGGCGTTCTGGGAAGTTGAATTGCCGTCGGATCCCGGTCCGGCTGCAAGCTGCGTGCCATCGGAGAAACTCGAGAAGCGCACGGAGCACCACTTTCGACGACTCGAAGAACGCGCGCACGCAGATCGAGAAAATCCAATCGCGACTCGGGAGCATGCACAAGCCGCGCGGGGCCGGCTCGAAAGTTGTTAAAGCGGAAGCAAAGCGTAGCGGTTCTTGCCCTTCTTCGTGGGGGCAAGCGGACCGAGTGTCCGAGGGGACCGTGCGCATTTCGAGTGGACTGAAGGGCCCTCGGCCGGCCTTTGAAGGCCCCACGTCCACGCCGACTCAAAGGGACGCCCCGGCGGCCTGACCGCCGCAGAGCCCCGGGCGAGTGGCTCGAGTTTCGAGTCGAATTCCGAAGCAATTAGGAGAGCTTTGCCATTGATCGCTTCCTTTCACTGGCAGTTCTTGAGAGCGGTACTCGGCTTTAATGCAGCGTGTTTGCGCGTTGGTCTGTCGTCGACCGGGATAGCAGTGTACTCTTCTCCGTTTCGCGATAGGTCCGCGCGCAGCCGGCCTACGAGCTGATGGGGCCACTCAGACATCGGAAAGAGCGCAGTGTCGCCGATAACATCGCTGCAAGCGCAACGAGGATTGGAAACTAAAGGACCCCTCTGCTCTTCCAATCTTGTCATTAACTGTAACGGGGAGTACATTGCTACAAATATTTTGTACTTAAATTACATCACAAATTACCGCTGCGAAATTATAATCTGACATTGCGCAGTTTCCTTAAAATTGATTACAGGCAATCCATTACTTACAGCGGATTACTTCCCAAATTCACGTTGTAGGATTTCCCTCGCAGCTACCCAATAAGGTACCTAAGGGGGGATGGCACCAACGGCAAGTAGTTTTTTTGCGCACCTGATGATGATGGTGATGATGATGATGATGATGATGATGGTTACGCTGATAATAACGATTATGATGATGACGATGTTAACGATTTTGTAACATCCCGCGAGTTCACTAAAACGAACAGGATGTGTCTCAGCACATTCATTTTATTGAGTTTGTTTGGAAGAAACCAAACAAAAAAGCTCCTTTCAGGGTACACCTGTTAATATTCGCCTGGCGCCCATACAATGTGGCAAAAGAAAACTGTAAGCATTTAAAAACTGCATTGGTCCTATATAGCTTTGAATGTTACATAAGAAAAAAAACACAGTGAGCATGTTACCAGTTTGATGAATCGCGAAGGCGCGAAGAAAAGAATAAAGACATAGTCTCCGCAGAGAACTGCTGTTTAGGTTTCTAAGATTTTATATCCCACCTTTGATTATTCGCGGAACAAATATAAAATAAATTAATACGTGTCATTGAATAAAAACTTTAACACAATTTTCTTGCTTTCGGTAATTGAACTGGCCTACGACGTCATCGAAGTCAGTTTGCTCGGTGTACGTTTCGCAGAAAGACAAAAGAAGCGGGCACAAAAGTGGCCGCAGTCCTTACGAACTGGGTGGGCTACGGTTGCCCTCGGGTTTTGCCTTGTGCAGCACCAACAGCAACGGTGTTGTTCTCGGCCTTCTATGACCTGCATTTGCGCAGTTTTTGTATTACATTGTACAACGATTATTTTCGAAGCAACGCAGCCGTGCAGCCACCGCAGTCCACCTACTACGTAGTGGCGTCAGCATAGACAAACATGGAGGCGCCTATGAAACAGAAAAAATGCTGGGCTTATGTGAAAGTAGAAAACAGTAACAAGAAAGATCAGAACGACCCTTGCACTGGCAGTCGTATAGTGTTGCGCGGTGGCATGCCTGGCCTTGTCGCCCGAGCGGCCGCCGTATTTCGGCCAGACTTGTACACGTTACTGAAAAGTAGTAAGGAATTACATTTACAATTACTCAAGGCCTAAATTGTAATTATTTACAATTACAATCACCCACCAATAAAAGTAAGTGACCGTTACCCCAAGAAGTAATCCGTTACTTTTCTGGCGTTACTTTCAACATTATTGTCCTCAAATGAGAAACAAAGGGAAGAGGGTTATTCAAGTTCTTATTGTTGCCACGTGTTCCATTGAATGACCTTGAGTATTTTGAGCAACAGCTGGCTCTCGAAAATCTCGTCAGACATTTTGCGTTATTTCTTACTGAAGATGTCGACTGCTAGGCTGAACACTCTTTGAACTGAGGCACTGGATGTGAGTGGCATATTGTGCCCCACAAATGCTTTATGCTCTGCATTGAGCTTCTTCAGCGAAGCAATAGAAGTACCATATTTGCCTCGAAGATAAAGCAAAGCTTCCTCGTTGCAGCCGTTGCCTGATATTTGAGAGGTTTAGTAGATCGTTCCGATACCTCTGATGCCCCCGATAACGACATGATGCATGCGCAAAGATGGCGGCTGAGTATCGGATATCATTATCTGAGTCATCGGGACGATCTACTAAAACTCTCTATTGTCCAAATCGCGAAGTTGTAGAAGTCGTCATACAACTAGCCAAAACTGAAATAAGAATTGATTTGTGCACATCTTACTAACCGGTATATATTGCTGGACAATAGCAAAACATAGTTCGTACCAGTAAGGTGATAATTAAATAATTATGAAGGTCTGGCTCGGTATTCTTCCTCCTTTGGCTCTGACCAGGTCGAGCATAGGTTGAGGCGCGTTGGTGAATAAGAGAACGTTTTTAATATATAAATGTGACTAATAGCAAAAATACAAAAAACAGGACATTCATAACAACAATTAATTAAAACGTCGGTTAAAACAAGGAAATGTAAACGCACGTTTACCGAGTGTACCTTTCTTGATGCCGTTCAAAAACGCACGGAGCACGGACCGATTGCAGTTTACTCCGGTTTTCTCCAGATAAACTTCCGCTGATGCCACGGGCAGCGAAGAGTAGAGAACTACGCCACACTATGGCGCCACTCATGACTTTCACTCTTTCTCCAAGCCCAGAATCTTAAATTTACGTCAGTCACCATTGTTTTATTTGTAAAATTCTGCTTGAGATAAGATGCGTCCTGCTGGGGTACAAACAGCAACAGAAAAAAAAAAAAGACAATTACCATTTTCGAAGTGAGCGCAAAACTCTGACCCGCTAAAAGAGTGACTGAGATGCGGATAACCTGGCTGAAATTCATAAATAAAGTGGACCACCCCTAGAAGTTGGACCTACAAAAAAGTAAGTAGCTTTCGAAAGCGGTTTAAATAATGTGAAAGCAGCCGAAAACAAATTCATCCTGCTTTCTCAGACAAGATGATATGTGCGCAGCAACGAACGAGGATGCTTGTGCAATAACACCTTCACATATTAACACATCTCTTTTCGTGGATTTTAGGGTAGACGGAGCGTCGTCTCGTGTTGTGACAATAGAGAGTTTTAGTAGATCGTGTTTTCAGGCCACGCTAATCGTAGCGGGAGCTCGCGCTGCCACTTCGATGCATGCACTGAAGCGCGCGCTCGTAGCAGTAGCAGGCCTTTGAAAACGATCTACTATAACACCCTATTATGAAAATGATTGTTGTCACTCTAACCGAGGAGGACGTTGTTAATTCTTGTCTGTGCACTTACCGCTTCGAGCTGCTCGAAGAGGCACACAATCACTCGGTGTCCTCCTCCTCTCCCCGTCTTCGATCGCAAAACAAAAACAAAGGGTCTAAAAAAATAGATTGAGGGGCTTCGTGTTGTAAAGAAAGGCTCTTGGGAACTGAACAGTGCCAAGCCTCCCTGCGCGCTGGTCAATGCGCGTGACAGTGTCACTGCGCTCGACTTTACCAAAATAAAACAACCCTTTTTATAGAACGGCGGGGGGAGGGGGGGGGGGGGGTTGTGAAAAAAATGTAACGAATTACAAGAAATCCGTTATGTAAATATGTAAGGAAATTACTTAAGAATTAAACTAGAAAATATCTAATTGTTCCATTACTCAATTGCCGATAAATGTTAGGGATCACAAGTAATTTAGTTCCTTGTCACGGATTACGTACCACTCTGATTTCGGTACAAGGAGAGTGGTCTGCCCTAGCCGCTCGGGCAGACAGCTTTCGGCCAGCGGTGCCCTTTGTCCAATCCCAAATCAGAGCTTTCTCCTCGGAAACTCGTCATCCCCGTGCCACACCTTAGGTGCGCCACTGCTGCTACCCTCCTCAAAGTATGACACAACGCACTGGCTCAAGAAAGACGTAGTCAATTATTGACTGTTATTGCCGTGCGTCGGGTTCCAAGAAGTTTCGGCGTAATCTGCGGTGGCCTTCTATAAGCGGCGGAGCGTCGGGCGCGTGGTGGAAATGACCAGAGACGATTTAACATGCTTGCAACCTGGTCGAACGCTGTGGATCATCATGTTGCACACAAGTTAATCAAACAGTGAGGTATGGTGTAGCACTATCAACACTACAGCGACTATCTACAGGTGAAATTGCAGGCAAGTGACATCTTTTTCAACGGAAATGTGCAACCGACTACAAAAGAAAAGATATCTTACATCTACGTGTACGTAGACGTATGAACAAACGTTCCGTGCTCAAACCAAACAGTGTATCTCGTTAGCTCGTTGACCTTCACTGCTGCATTGCTCCTCATCCTCAGAGTTTACACCCAAGTTATTGTAAAGAAAAAATGCGAGAGTTAATTGACATTGCGACATACATCCGGCGCTGTTGTGCCCAAGATCGCTGTACAGCATATCGTTGAAAACGGAAACTGTGCAGTTTATTGATGTAGCTGTTGTACAACGATACTCGGCCCAGGTGGAAACGTAAAATTCGCCGAAGCCAGCTGCGCAGTAATCCGAGCTGGGGCTCTTCTGTTGAAAACGAGCACAGTCTTTTGTTGAAAAGCATCTCTGGGCGCCTGTGTGTTATTGTTTGTGCAGTTTGCATGCACAATTTTCAAACCGCCAAAGTCACCATAGCTGAACTTCGCGAGCGTGAACCGTGATCTCTGAAAAGAGTGGAATCGTCCGCAACTGTTGTTCAACAGATGACTGAGCGATGACCCCCTTGTGCAATTCGCCCTTGTGGGATTGGGACTATACGTGGAACTCCGAATACCCAAGGCTGACATCATGCTTCGAGAATACCGTCCTTGCCTACACGCCGGCGACTTTCCTGGTGCCATTCGGTCTTGCCCCGCTGCTTGTAGGACGACGAAAAAAGAAGCAATCCCACTATCGTGAACTTTGCCTCTGGACTCCGTTAAGCTTATCCAGATTTATTGCAAGTATACTGTTGACTTTGACATACACATTCTCCTTCATGTTCAAACTCGTCGCTGGAGCATCATCGGTGGCGTCTGTGACGGCAGACCTTGTACATATCATCACTTTCGCGGTAGCGCTAGAAGTTCAGGAGAACAATCGAAAGAACGGAATTGGATCTTCGATGTTGTTGTTTTTCTTTTGGTTGACGACCGCAATCTGCGGGCTGCCCGAGTTCTTCCGCCACTTGCGGGAAATCTTCGGGACAGACAGTGACTTGCCTGACCTCTCAAAGCTTAAAATCACCGCGTTCGCAACATCTTACTCTCTGGTTTTCTTGCAGCTGCTGCTCTCCTGTTGGACGAACGTCAGAACAGACGCGAAAAGACCCTACATTACCGCTCCACCTTTGTCGTTTCTCCTTCTTAAATGGTTCTCACCACTCGTACTGAAGAAATCCCAACGTGTTCGACTTGATGATCTGTACAGCATACCACCAGAAATGATGACTTTCCGAAGCTATAGTAAGTGGTTTACGTTCTGGAGGAGAGAACTGAGTTCATCTGGATACGTACCGGAAGATGGATCATGTGTTATATCTCGACCACCGCCTTCACTGTTTAAGTCGTTGTGGAGAGCGTATTGGAAACCTTTAGTGATTTCGTGCATCCTTGCCGCACTACTTGCTGTACTGAAAGCCGCCCCTGCTCCTCTATTGCATCTTCTAATGAACTACATGATCGGGAACGATCCCATCTGGAAAGGCACCTTGTACGTCATCACAATGGTGAGCGCCAACTTTGGGTCGGCCCTGCTTGCTACCCACATTGAGAGGACACTCAGTCTTACGGGCCTAAATGTAAAGGCTGTCTTGATGGCAGCCATTTATAGAAAGACACTTAGGCTTTCTAGTGAGTCGCAGAGGAAATACACAATAGGAGAACTGGTCAACTTGATATCCGTTGATGCCGATCGGATCTTCGAACTCAGTACCACTTTTGGTACTGTGATCAGTGGAGTGCCCCTGATCATCATCACGTTAGTTCTACTTTGGCGGTACCTTGGATTGGCTTGCCTCGCTGGCATCGCTGGCATGCTCGTTATAACGTCAGTAATGGCCCTAACGGTACGCGTTAAAAACAAGTACCAGATAGATCAAATGAAGCTGAAAGACAAGCGGCTCAATACAGTAGCAGAGATGTTGAGCAGCGTCAAAGTTCTCAAACTGTTCGGTTGGGAAAACATTTTTATGGCCAAGTGTAGCTCCTTGCGATTAGATGAGATGCTTCTGCTAAAAAAATTCTCCTACCTGACTGCTCTCAGTCGCTTTATTCTGTCATGTTCATCACCCGTGGTCACCTTGGCGAGCTTCGTGACCAACGTGTTGATCGGCGGCGGTCCCATTCTTGACGCAAGCACTGCGTTTGTGTCGTTGACGTTATTTGAATATTTGCAGCAGCCAATGCTTGTGTTTCCAGACTTTGTTTCGAAAGCGGTACAAATGAGCGTCTCAATGACAAGGATTCGAGAGTTTTTACTATCCCCTGAGGTAGACGACTATTCAGTCGGTCGACGAGTGGATGAAGGTGATGCAGTATCAGTAATGAATGCAACGATTTCCTGGTCCATGGATGGAATCCCGGCGTTGAGAAACATTAACCTCGTTGTCAAAACCGGAAAATTGATCGCAATCGTTGGACCCGTAGCCTCCGGCAAGTCGTCTTTGCTTTCTGCGCTGTTAGGAAATCTCAGAGTTTGCTCAGGATCTGTGGATTGCGTAAAAGGTGTAGCGTATGCTCCTCAGTGTCCGTGGATCCAGAACAAGACAATACGAGAAAATGTTATCTTCACGAGTAAGTATGACTCCGAACTGTACAAGACGGTACTGGAGGCGTGTTGCCTCAAAAGAGATTTAGAGGTCCTTCCAGATGGAGACCTGACTGAAATCGGCGAGAAAGGGGTTACCTTAAGTGGTGGTCAGAAACAGAGAGTCAGTTTAGCAAGAGCAGCTTACCAGAAGAAAGACCTTTACCTGTTTGACGACCCGCTGAGTGGAGTGGATGCTCACATTGGCGCTTGCATATTCGGGAACCTCATTGGCCCACGAGGAATGCTGAGAAGAACCACTAGAATCTTGGTCACCCATAACCTTGCAGTGCTTAATGAAGTCGATTATATTTTCGTTATGCAGAAAGGATTAGTTGTTGAGTCGGGAACTTATGAAGAACTCAAGAACAAAGGAACTGCCCTCTCGAGATTGCTAAAGAACGTTTCTAAGAGAGTTCAAGAATTTAATGGAAATGAGGACTCCCCGACAAATTCAGTGAGCAAATGTGAACACGAGGAAATGAAGCCAAAGGCTAGGCTTGTGGAGAGGGAAACAATAAATGAGGGTTCAGTAAGTCTTCGGGTATGTGAAACTTACATGAAACACGCTGGATTTTTACTTATATTTGTTATTTTGTGTTACGGTGTTTGCACAATACTTGATGTGTTCGCAAGCATCTGGCTGAAAGAATGGACTAGTTATTCACTATTTCTTGATGGAAATCAGGACCTATCTAGGCCTACTTACAGAATACAGGTTTACATCCTCCTCCTTACTCTCAAGGCGGTTGTCAAGTTTCTCGCAGTCGTAATGTTGTGGAAGGTAGCTCTCTCCTCGTCCACGTCGCTTCACCAATCGATGCTCAACGGTGTGATGAGAGCGCCTTTGTCATTTTTTGACGTCACCCCCTCTGGACACTTATTGAACCGCTTCGGCAAGGACATCGACCAGCTTGATGTTCAGCTTCCATGGTCAGCACATTTCGCGCTTGAGTTATTGTTTCTTTTTGTATCATCGATTTTTCTAATTTGCGCAAACATTTCCATGTGCCTTTTGATCGTCGTTCTTTATGCGGTGTGTTTTCTGGTTCTGCGTTCCAGATTTGTGGTCCAATCTCGTCAAATGAGGAGGCTGGAGACCGTCACCCGTTCTCCAGTTAATAATCACTTTTCGGAAACGATAGATGGCTTGAGCAGCGTCAGGAGCTACGGCGTTCAGGACATTTTCGAGCGAGATAATGACAAGAAAACCGACATCACGCAGGCCTGTACTATGAACGTCAAACACTGTAAATACTGGATAGACGTCTGGACGGCGGTGATGAAAGAACTGGCCCTGTTTCTTATGCTGTTGCTTCTTGTTATTAGCCGCGATATGGTCGGCACGGGAATAGCAGGTCTTCTGGTGCCTTACATCATGAGTGCTCTCTCTTCGTTCACCTACTTTGTTTTTTTCTTACACCAACTAGAAGCTAATTTGGTATCGGCCGAACGAGTAGACGAGTACAGTCGTTTGACCCCCGAAGGGCCATGGACATCGAACTTTATTACAAACCCACACTGGCCACAGTCAGGTGCAGTGTCTTTCAAGTCTTACTCGACTCGGTACCGGGACGGCTTGGGCCTGGTCCTCAAAAATATCAACCTCGATGTGCGCCCTGGTGAGAAATTAGGGATTTTAGGACGAACGGGTGCCGGCAAATCAACCATGACCTTAAGTCTTTTCCGCATAATCGAAGCAGCGGCTGGCAAGATTGTAATAGATGATGTTGACATTGCCGTTTTAGGGTTACACGAGCTTCGTTCCAGCATAGCCGTCATACCACAGGACCCGGTTCTATTCCACGGTACCATACGGTTCAACCTTGATCCTGTCGGACAGCACGATACTGCAGAACTCTGGACGGCACTGGTCAGATCACAACTCGGAGGTGTCTTCAGGAAAAATGGTGGGCTAGACTTTGTAGTCGCGAAAGGCGGACTCAACCTCAGCGTGGGTCAGAGGCAGCTGATTTGCCTTGCGAGGGCTCTGTTGAGAAAGACGAAGATACTTGTCCTTGACGAAGCCACTGCGTCAGTGGACGTTGAGACAGACTTGCTCGTTCAGCAGACGTTGAGAGATATGATGAGTGGGTGTACTGTCTTGACAATAGCTCATCGTATTCACACTGTTATGACGTCGGACCGTGTTGTGGTGATGGATGAAGGGAGGATTGTAGAAGTCGGTAGCCCCACTAAGCTCTTAGCTGATACGAAGTCGTCCTTCTACTCCATGGCTCGTGAAGCGGGAGTTGTTTGCCACAGAGTTGAGAAGTCCGGGCAGTCTGCGCTCAAAGCGTCTAGTGTCCCTGTTGGACTAGCTAGGGCACTTGTCAAATAGTCACGCGGTAGCACCATAGCTATGGCGGTCTTCCGAATTCCTGTTGATTTGTAGAAAGTAAAAGTGGGCATACGAATGACGCAGCCTTCCGCCATCGACCACCTGATGCTCAATTTACAAGCAACAGAAGTTACAGAAACAACAATGCAGGCATCAACTTCCCCGTTTTAAGGTGCAAAAGGCGCTTTAGAGCAGCAAATTGCCAGGAGACATAGAAGCACTCCTGTAATGCGCTGTAGATATTTAGATGATTTTTGAGTCATTGCGTTGCTTGCTGTATGTTGTGTTTTATATGTCGTAAATAACTAGATAAATGTGAATGTTGATGGACGGTGCACTTAGTTCTTTGAATTTTTTACCCAGTAATATTATTTATAGTTGTGTGTCCTGTTTAATAAAGAACTAAGCTGAACGTCCAGTAATTAGATAAGATATAAACGAGTTTGTTTGGGTTGCATACAAAAAATGAAACTTCGTATTCCTTTCTACCTTATTAAAATATGTACTGTTCTTCGCTTTATATTAAAATACGTTACGTAATCGTAACGGGTACAGCCTGCTTATAAATTATAATAAACTAATTGTGGCGCAGAAAATACTGTATTGTTTGAAAACTACAAATATGATTGAATTGCCAAGCCCATTTTTTTAAATTAATGCACACATTATTCAAATATATAATTTACTAAACGTATTATTTAAACAAAATTGGGTTGTGGGTATGTTTCTACAGCTTGAACTTAGTCTGCCTCAATGGGTGACTTGTCCAGCTGTAGATGAGCAATTCAGCAAGTGCAGTGCAAGCACTAGCCTGGGGTCTTTAACGTGCACCACGCAGTAGTGCGATCGCACGCCGGTACGATGCTCATCCAGTACTCCGAGCTGGTCTGAGCCAGCCCACTCGGCCAGCGATCCCCCAAAGCGCATTATTAGGCATTAACCAAACTGTTTACATTCCCGAACGACACTTCAGGAATATGAAATACTTTGACAAACTATATGGTAAACAAAATATTAATTATCATGCGTTCAATTGAATTGAAACCTATTTCGACATTGTAGTGATTACCTAAACTATAAATAAACAATCTACTAAAACAATTTTTTTGTCGAATGATTTTGCGTATGTTTATTCATTGAAACTGGTTTTCCCGATATCTGCAATTTTCTCGCAACACTGCACTGCGGGTCATTTCTATACACAATTGCAATCATGGCGCCTCACTGATGCTCCATGTGTGCAAGCATGTGTGCAGCGAGCGCGTGAACGTAGCATTGGCAACCTTGTAAATGCACACACTTGCCAGCACGAGCAGAGACCTGGCGGCGGCCAGATCCGCCTACGTATCTTGTTGAGCGCGTCTTCCATTATTTTGCTATATACGGTTGTTTTCTTTTTTAATGAAACTGTTCTCAATGGTTTCTTTCCTGGCGTGTGTTGTCATTGTTCATTATTGTACGCCACACGGACTTTAAAAAATATATAATTATATTTTGGTGATTTTGGTTTTTGTTTTTTCTGTGTTCTTGGAAGTTGTTTTGCGTACGAGTTCCCAGCGTGAAGAATAAAAGCTAAGATAATTTAAATTGTGATTTGAAGACCGATCTGACTACGGTGATCTAAAGGGAAACTGACGCGGTTCAGTATTTAAGTAAAATCACTTAAATCGTTTTTACTTGCCCTCAATGATCAGGCGTCTATATTATGTTTCAATTTTGGACACGGCTGCTGCAGAAAGTCATTTTCAAAGTACCGTTGAAACCCCTCCTCCCCGGAGCATGACGTCATATCCAGAGTTTTCGGAATATCCGCTCTCACGCACCTTCAGCGCTTATCAAAGCTATGCACGCGCACTCTTGCAATTTTCAAAATGTTCAAAAAAGACGTTACGACTGGTGTCAGTGCGAGGGAATACACCTGGCAAGCTTGCAACGGCACGCGTTTCCCACACGAGGGACACGCGCTTGGCGGCCGAAACATTTGAGTATGACGTCACGACTGGTCGGAGTTTTTTCGAGTTTTCTCGCGTTTGGTTACATATTCGGGGAAAACGAACGTGATATTCAGATTCAAGGGATAAAAATACTCTAAAATAAATCTCATTTAAATCAAATAAATTTGATTTACTAGATCTTAAAAACATGATTTTTTCCACTTTGAATTAGGACCTGAGTGTGATTGGAGAGTTAGTCTGGAATTTGGGTAATTAAGATTATGTTTTGATTTTGATCTTGTTGTTTTGCATGTCCCAATGTTTGTTGTTTAGTCTCCTTCGTTATATTGGAACAATTTTGCGCGTGCCTTTTACATGTCGTGCTACTTTGAGCTGCCCCCCCCCCTTTCCCCATACAGTTCATGCAACTTCAATGCACTTCCCCCTATTGTATCGCCTTTCACATGTTTTTATAAAGCAACTGAATATCTGAATGTTTCTTTTTTCTGTGTGTAGTGTCTCCCTTCATTGTTATCATCATTGTGCGCTTAAGTTACACCATTTTAAGAAAAGAAAAATTTTGTTGTGTTTATTCTTTTACTAGTTGTTTTGTAACTGTTTTGTGTATTCAGGACGTTTTTGTAAATGAAAGCCCTCACAGCATGTCCTGACTGAGTTTTATTCTCTTGATGTTTCGATTTTGTTTTTTCTGCCTTGCACATAGGTCTGAATTTTCGTCCGCGTGTTTCTGTTATTATTGCACTACTGTCTTATCGAACGAACTCTGCATGTGTGCTATCGGCCCTAATAAAATCTGATTGGCTAATCCGCTCGTGTGTCTACCTATTAAAAACATATTTAAAAAAAAAAACCTGGCGTTCTTTTTTTTTTTTTTTTTTTTTTTTTTTTAAGGCGTGGATTAGCCGCTTTAGTGGCTTGAAGGTAAATCGCCGTACTACGGATCCCTGCAGGTATACAGGGTTCAAATCCCCACCGAGGTGCCCGCAATCTGATGAATGCTTAGAAGACGCTGTGTAACCAAAGGTTCGGTTTCACGTCAAAAGATCCTCAGGTGGTCGAAATCAACCGCCAGTCCTGCGCTAGGGTGTGCCAGATGTTCTGAATTTGTTGTTTGTACCCGTAAAACACCCACCTTTGACTTTGTCAAACGGCATGGGACGCATGCGCGGTAAGGCCACGAGGCCGCCGTGGTTTGTACGCTATGTAAGTTGCCTTCTCCGCCATTACTGCCACCGTGTATTTGCAGGTTTTCTAGTCTCGCTATCCACACATCATTAACGCGGCGGCTTGCTCGTCGCTCTTGCATGTTTCTTGTCATTTGTTAAGACGCCCACGGGCTATCGACTCCGAGTGTTACATTGAATAGGCGGCATTCACTGGCCGCCACTGCCGAGTTCTCCGTGTATTTTATCCTAATATTTGAACATATAAAGCCGCGAATTTCGAAGCCACCTTATACATGATATTCTGTTAAGTGTATGTACTTTTTTATTTTTGTTGGGGCGGTCAGAGAGTATAGAACGCCCTTTTGAAATAAATTGCGAGTGTTAATAACAGTGACGTGTTTCCGTTTTTCATCGCGTATTTCAGAGACCCGCTAAAATATTTCCCAACAGGCGACCTATAGGTACATACGTCGTAAGTAAAATATATAAATAAAATGGCGCAGAACTGCAATCGTGCAACTGCACAGGTGGACGCAGCGCGCAGCTTTGAGCGATATTTTTTTTTTAAACTTTTGAAAACACAAGTGTTTTCAAAAGTGGCAATACAGCGAAGAGCGGCCCAGAACGCGATGGTTGATGAGACCGTCACTCAGAAGCGGGCCGCCAATCGGTGTAGCTTTTGTGCGCGCGACTTTTTTTTTTCTTTTCTTTTTTTAAGTCTCAATATTTCTACACAAGTAATTCACCGCGTACCTCAATCGAGCAGGTGTACCTCGTAAAAAAAAAAAAAAAAAAAAAAAGAACAGTCAGAAAACTGGAAAAACAATTTCGAGGACACCTCAGCACTTCTTATGAATTGTAAATGCGTAAGCATTCATGTCCATTTCCAATGGCTTCGTTCTGTTTTTTAGCGCGTTGCGCCGCTGTTCCTTTCGGCCGCCGTGTATTCGGAGACTTGGCAACTATGGTGGATTTCGCTGCCTGCGACTTCGCTCGTTTTGCTGCGTTCTTCCTCTCCCTTAGTTCGTCTGCGGTGTACAGGCGGGGACGGTCACGTTTCACTGCGGCCGAGGTTGCGGCCACCAACTCATATTTACAAACAAACCGGAGCGCCCCTAGCGGACGCCACCGGCGCCGCGCATGCGCGGCGGGCGCGTGGTGGAGAAGCTCGCCGGCGCCCATAAACAAACGATGTTGTCGGCGCCGGTGGGAGTCCCCCTGCCCTTTTTCGCGTTCGAATGGTTGATTCTACGTCTTCCTGGCGATGTCTGACTGCTTGAGCGGCGTCAGCGAAATTACTGAGGCTCGTTACACCACAAAACTTCGCGTGAATAATGTGACGTGCGGCGATTCATTCCGCGTGGACGCCGCAGTATCTACGCGTACTTGATTCACATGATGCGACTTCGCTCGCTATTTTTCTAGTCTCAATTTAAGGGTGAACGGAGTATAGAGGAGTGACGTAGACGGGCAGACGGAGCGATTTTTTTTACAAACAAAAACTCAACTTAATAATTTTAGCTCTTTCGGGAACATGTAATGGACTACTTGTAATTGATTATATACAAATAGTAATTGAATTACAGTTAACGTAACCGCAGAAAAAACTTAATTGAAGCATTAAAGAGGTAAATTCCAATGTACTTGATTACAAGTAACCAGTCACTTGTAACTCGTTACGTAGAACTCTCAAAGACAAACTCAAACTCAAACTCTTTTTCTCTAATTCGGAGGTAGAAGGCATAACAAAAAAAGCAACCAAGGTGTTGTTTGACAAACCTCCGCCTGCACAAATAGCAGTAGCAAAAATCAACAACAAAAATATAAAGTTTGCAGCTCAGCAAGGACCTCAAAATGGATAACCCCTTGAGAATGGAGA